TGATACCAGACATTATCACAGCAGAGGCATCGTTTCATTTAGAAAATGCACGGTACAATTAGGTTTGCATTCTGATATTGCATAGAAGTCTCAGTGTCACATTTATATTATGTGTAACTGTTGCATTTATTAGGGTTAGAGACTCATAGGTTTAATTATGGTGAGACCCTTAGCAGAGGATTAAAGGAAATGTGAGATCCTTACTTTAGTGATAGAATAATAAACCCTTAAGTAGGGGTAGTACTTAATCTAGATCATGCATGTACCTATTGTTTAGTACCCAATCTTTATCATGCTTATGTTTATGAAATTCTTATGCTGCTCTAGATTAGCTATTATATTGTTGGGCTTTGTAAGCTCAACCTACGAATGTTTTTCATTGGTAGGTCTGTAGAGTGGGAAATTCGAGAAGCACTGTTGTGGCAGGACTTCTAACAACCCCCTTCAGAGTACTATATTGTATTTTTAGTGGGCATGTGTATTCATAAGACCCTTATATTGTATTCAGAGAGTTTTAATATTTTGATTTAAAATTGTGTCATGGAGCTCCATTTTATAAAATGTTTAGCCCCCTTCAGAGTACTATGTTTTAGCTTTAATGGGCATATGTATTCATAGGACCCTTATAATGTATTCAGAGAGTTTGTAATATTTTGATTTAAACTTGTGTCATGGAGCTCCGTTTTATAAAATGTTTTTATAACAATTATTTATTTTTAATTATAATACCATTGAGTACATTTGAAAAGAAAACAAGCAGGTTTTGAAAATTTGAGGTTACCTCGGTAGCCTAATGTAGCACTTTAGGCCCAATTGGGTTTAGGGTGTTACATACATCCTTTAGGTTTGTGATAATTTGGAGAGATTGTCAAAGCTCATACTCAAAGATATGACTACGAAATTAGAGTTAGCAAAGCTAGGAAGCTCTCTTTGGTGCCTAGCGTCCAAGAGTTAACAAATGAGCCATTAACAAAACTCCCACATCGATACGTACGCACTGGTCAGGACTCTTCCATTGTATCTCAAACAAATCTATTTCCACATGTTCCTATTATATATGCACAAGTTATCTTCACAGGAAGAGAGGGATCACTTGCATCATGTATGCAAAGAATGAGGTTTCTTCCAGGTACTTGTTTTCCCCTACACTGAGCTTTTGGGTTAATTTGAATTTAAAAAATTGATGGAACCATGTTGTAGTTAGTCAACCATGGGGTGAGCACTTCACTAGTGGAAATAATGAATATGGAGGTCCAACACTTTTTTAACCTTCCAATGGAAAAGAAGAATAAGCTTTGGCAGACAATTTATGAAATAGAGGGATTTGGACATGCCTTCGTTGTGTCTGAGGAGCAGAAGCTTGACTGTGGAGATATATTTTACATGATCACACTTCCATATTATTTGAGGAAACCTCACATATTCCCTAATCTCCCACTCAGCCTCAGGGAAACCTTGAGAGTAAAGACAGAGCTCTCTTAGGGGCCAAGAAGTCTCGACCCCTGTTAAAATTTATATATTCGATATAATTTTAGTTTAATAGTATTTTGGTTCATGTAAAAATAAATAATTAAATTTTAAAAAATATAAAAACTTATTAAATATTTAATCAAGTATGAGTCAAACTAAAGAATAATAAGTCCATGTTCTCAAATTTTTAGTCTAATTACAATTTAAGTCATTATAAGTTTAAATATTAGACAAATTAGAAGTTATCTTTTAAGTTTTGAGTTTTGAGTTTTTTTTTAAATTTAGAGTGAATACAAGGTAATATTTGTACAAAGACTTCAACTATTTGAGAATGAACGCTCATACCCCTACATACATGCTTGAACTCGGGACCTCAAGGATAATGTTACGGTCTGTGGATTTGGGTTCGTGACTTGTTTGCATGAGCCCGCAGAAGAGGCTCTCTATGCAGACTTGGGCTTAACAGGGAAAGCTAATTAGGCCCGTTCTTGGAGAATGCTAGTTCCGTGAAGGATTAAGTCCGAGGGCGTCCGAGACAAAAGTGATGAGGGTATTACAAGGTTCGGTGTGGGCAATTGTCGAGGATCTTGGAGTTCAAACCGAGACATGTGTATACGGATATTCGTAGAAAAGTCGTATAGAGTATCGGGCCTGCTCAAGACCATCAGACCTGGCCCATTCCTTGGAAGTTTCCAGAAGGAATAATTATCTCATCATTTAAGGAGATAAATTAAATTGAAAAAGATAATATTTGGTTTGAATTTGAATTATTTAGATAAGATTCTGATAGGATTTCATTTCAATATGGGTCATTGATGTAATTCAATCTATACTGAGCCTCCCCTTCTCATTTGTAATCACATTCAATTCATTCATTCTCTTCAGAGTAATAAAAATTAGACATTTACTATAAGTTTCTCTCTTGTTGCTTTGTTTCTTGTGACTTAATCACTTTGTTTTCTTTGTTTTAAAGCTTCTTAGCTTACTTTTGAGGGACTGAGCTTTATTGGCTTTATTTTCGACACTTAGTTTTTTCAAGCAGTGTTTTTCTTTTGTCCGTAAAGCCTTTGTGCTTTGTTTCCTCTCTCCGTGGCTAAATAGCCCTGATAGTGTTTACTTTCCACAAGAGTTGTTTAATCTTTTGGCTTTGAAGAGCCTCAAGTGTGTTAGCTTCCGCATCTTTATTAACCCTTGGTAGGTTTGATCATCACTTAGTGAGCTGATTTCTCACTTAAATCTGGTTAAGGTTGACTTAGACTCCACTTCAACACGAGAAAGTATCTAAGGTCACACGGTTTCGCTAGTTGAAATTCTAGCCCTGTGACATGTGGTATCATAGCAAGTTGTTGGTGTAACAACAAGTGTTCCAGATGGATTTTGTAGAAAGTGGTAAACAGGGTAAGTCAAGTGGACTTACTATGGAACTAGCTCATAGTTGTAGTCGAGTGTGGTGGCGGTCGAGCTAGTTCATGGAAGAATCAATTGAGATGGAACACAAAAGAGGTGGTTTTGCACATAATGGAGTAGAGATCAGTGGTGGAAAATAAGAGGAAAACCCAATGGACTTGATGATGGCAAGAGTGTCTCAAATCGAGGATGCCTTGGTAGAAAATTCTTTCAAAGAATTTGAAGAGAGAATTGTTGTTTTTAGATCTCAGGTAGAAAATCTGAGTGAGATTTCATCATCATTGGAGAAGAGGATTGTAAGCCTTAAACACTCTGATGAGGGAGCCAAGGAAATCCAGGGATTTGTGGACACACGTCTTGACAAGTTTGAGTCCATGGAGGACAGGTTGAAGAATGTGGCACAACAGGTTCTCAATGAGGTGGATTAGAAAACGGTCCAAACGAGGGATGCACTCGAAGTCGAGGTGATGGCTTTGAGGAAAGAAATGGATGAGTTGAAAAGAGAGTTGATTATTTGCAAGTCAGCAATGAGTGAGCATGGCACACTCGATACCTTCATAGAGGGACAGAGATCACGGGTAAAGCTCGTAGTGGAGCAAGATGATGCCTAGATACTTTCAGATGCTAAAACTGTAACCTAGTCATTGACAGAGCTTGCAGGAGATAAGCCACCCAACACTAAGTCATCCAGACCCATAACCAGTGATAGTGGTAAAAGTATGGGAGACCTTGACGAGGAACAGACAAAACATTGCAAAAAAATCTCTTCGAGTGGCCAAGAGGAGCCATCGAGTGGTCATAGCCATATAAATCCATCGAAGAATGGTGGGGCCAAGTCCTTGTCGAAGAAAAGGAAGAGCCAGCCATTGAAACACTACTTTTGTGATGGTCCTCGTTTGATTAGCGGATGCCCCAAGAATAGGAACTTTGCTTCCATCGTCAGAAAGATAGATGAGTCAGGAAGTGAAGTAGCAAGCCTTGGCGTGATTGCCAATGTCAATACAGCTAAGCCAAGATGAGAGGTGGCGCGACTATGAGCACTAAAGTACTCAAGCTAGAGAAGAGACACGATGCAACTGTGAGTGTCAAGGCAGTCAAGCACGAAAAGAGACTTGGTGAGACTATAGGTTCCAAAGTAGTCAAGTTAAGAAAGAGCCTCGGTACGAAAGCGAAAGATAAAGCTGTCAAGCCGAGGAAGAAAAGGGAGCAACTAAAGTGCTACCGGTGTAAGGGGCCTCACAAGTTGCGGATGTGCCCAAATCGAGCTAAGCAATCCGAAAAGAGGTACAAGGCTAAATATAGTGAGCCATTGAGACTTGGTTCAATGTTATATGTTTCTCCCAAGGTGAGTAAATACTGAGAGAAGATAGAGTTGTCCGAACCAGAGGCAACCAAAAAGCTTTCCAAGGATGTATGTGAAGTGGACAACATCGCTTTGGAAGCCAAAATTGGCGAAAGGCAATGAAGAGAGCCTGAACTGTCAAATGAGCATGTTCGCTCATGGTATGCCAGGACGGAGGCGTGGTTTAAGTTGAGGCGTCTCATGTATACAAGGACAATGGAAGAGTATGTGAGTCAGTTCAAAGAACTCATGCTCGAAGTCCCAAATCTGACTGAAGAAGATGGGTTCATCACCTTCATGGATGTATTGAGGCAAGTGGCACAGATTTTGTTGGAACGAAGGGGAGTCAAGGATCTTTCTAAAGCCTTAATAACCATCAAGTCCCTTAAAAAACTTGGATTCAAGAAGACTTCCAAGCTAAAGTTGAAAGCCGAGGGTAATGGCGAGAGAATCCGTAATGAAAGCAAGTCAGAAGATGAAGTGTGTAGTTCCTTGAGTGGCGATCACAATCCACTCAAAGTTGACCCAGATGATGATTCTGGGAAATATGTATGTGAACTTGACACAAGTACAAGTGTTAAGGAAGTTAAGCCGAGGGTAAATGTTAAGCAAACAGAGGGTCATCTAGATAAGGGGCCATAGATGTTGTGAACTTGCCCAAGTGAGGTCAAGTCATCCGAGATGATGGAGGAGCCCATGATCAAATTGTCCAAGGAAAAGGATGAACCCAGGATCGTTAAGGTGTTAAAATTCATCCCTATAATCGTACATTCAAGAAGGAATGATCGATGCAATCTCCAGACTTCAAGTTAGAAGAAATGAGGCGAGAAGGGGAATCAGACTTTGCCGTGGGAAAGTGTCAATGCATGGTGGTGTAGCGAACTTCATTGAAGAAGGATCGATACAGTGGGCGTCAGGTTTCAAGGAGAAAGAAAGGTTAACATGTGTTAAAGAAAATGACAATTGAATTCAAACTGAGGGAGGTACATCTCCAACACATTCTAATGTTTTGAAGTCTAATTTGTATTATTTGGAGAGTGTAGGTCAAGATGGACCTAACTTTCGGTATGGAGTGGTTAAAGGTTGGAGACTTTACCATAACTTTTAGCGTGGAGTGGTTAAAGGTTGGAGCCTCTACCTTCACTTAGAGCATAAAGTGGACAAGGGTTGGAGCCTTTGTAACAACTTTCAGCATAGACTGGCCAAAGGTTGGTGTCTTTGCCAGAAGATCGAGTGGATCAATTTCAAGGAAAATTTAGAGAAGTAGGAATGAAGTTCCTATAGGTGAGATGTGCGAGTTCCAATGGGGGAGAATGTCACGGTTAGTGTATTCGGGTCCGTAAAGCATTTGTGCTTTGTTGCCTCTCTCCGTGGCTAGATAGCCCCGACAGTGTTTACTTTCACAAGAGTTGTTTAATCTTTTGGCTTTGAAGAGTCTCAAGTGTGTTAGCTTCCGCATCTTTAACCCTTGGTGGGTTTGTTCGTCGCTTAGTGAGTTGATTTATCACTAAGACGTGGTTAAGGCTGACTTAAGTGCCACTTCAACACGAGAAAGCATCTAAGGCCGCATGGATCCGCTAGTTGAAATTCTAGCCCCGTGACAATAACAACAATCCCTTAATCACTAAGATCGCTTGGTTCATGCTGAATTTCGAGTTTAAAAACCTAATGAGTCTTTATATTTTTCTTAAATAGTCTAATATTTCAACATCTGCTAATATTTAATTCTGTTTCCATCCATGTTTGGGAGCTTTTTCTTTAAAATTGAAACATCTTGCCATGAAACTGTTGAATGTTATGGGGAAAGCTCTAGGGATGAACCTAATGACATGAGAGTTCTGTTTGAAGATGGGCTTCAAGCGATGAGGATGATCTATTATCCCCCATGTCCAGAGCCGGAGATCGCAATTGGTCTATGCGCTCATTCTGATCCCATTGGCCTCACCATTCTACTCCAGATCAACGAGATGGAAGGCCTTCAAGTCAAGAAAGATGGTGCTTGTCGTGACCGTCCCTTTTATGGGGCCACAACCGGGTAGGTACGCCAAGGCCAACCATGTATAGGGCCTAGTGGGAGGGTAGAATAAGCTTGTCCTCTTTTCAAGCATTTTAATGTTTTAGGTAGGGAGTAGGGGTATGACTTACTGTCCCCTATTCGAGCATTTCAACGTCTATAGGTAGCATTTCTACTATTTTGTTTTCGCATATATGTAGGGGGTGGACAGCCGGCAGAGTTTGGGCTGATCCACAGGTAAAGGTACGTGTCTTGTGAACACCATCGAGGGCCGCCCCTACGGCCTAATCGGTGGTGTGGGTGAGTCTTCTGTAACCCGATATTTCTTTTATTAATAAAACATTTTTCTCTCGGAGAAGTCCGGGGGTTGAGGTGTGCATCCGCTATGCCCCACGGGCTCGGATTATTGGTCGAAGAACCATGTGGCTATAACGATCTAACGCAATGTTTGTTTATGCTTGATCAGATCTACGAGATTAAGGCTGACTTGGTTGGGAAGCGTCCCTTTCGAGTGCCACACGGATTAGCAACCGAACCAACTAGGCTAAGTCCGTGACACTTGGTATCAGAGCACAGAGGTGCGTGTTCATTTACTAAAAGCACGGAGGTGCTCATTTTGTTGAGTAAAGCATGATAGTGCTAGTTACCTGCTTGTGGCACAGCTGTGCACAAGTGCTAAACCTAGCACAGAGGTACTTCGCCTCAGGCCGCAGCACGGAGGTGCTCGGTCATTTGTAAAAGCACGGAGGTGCTTGATTTTAGATTGTAGCACAGAGGTGCTCAATCATTCCGATGCACAGAGGTGCCAGAATTTAGATTGAAGCACAGAGGTGCTCAGTCATAATTGGCTGCACAGAGGTGTCAGTCCTCGATTGAAGCACAGAGGTGCTCAATCATCTTAGCTACACAGAGGTGTCAGCTACCGGCTGAAGCACAGAGGTGCTCAGTCATTTTTTTTTAACTGCACAGAGGTGTCAGTTCTCGATTAAGCACAGAGGTGCTCAATCACTTTTGGCTACACAGAGGTGTCATCTCTCGATTGAAGCACAGAGGTGCTCAATCGTTAATTCTAGCACAGAGGTGCTATGGATTCAGCACAGCGGTGCTCTTTTCCTTCCTAATTTAGGCACGATTGTGCTTATTTGTTTTGCAGGCATAGAGGTGCCAGCGAGTTACAAAGAATGGTTCGCACACGAAATGGCGGAGCAACAAGCTCTCACAGAGGTGTAGAGCAGGAAGTTACTGAGCCAGTTGCACCAAGAATGGTTCGCACACGAAATGGCGGATCGACAAGCTCTCACAGAGGTGTAGAGCAGGAAGCTACCGAGCCAGTTGTGCAAGAGACTGGTTCGGTTGATCGACGGAAGCTAGAAGAGATCGAAGCCGCACTAGCTGCCCTTAGAGCTCATATGATATCTGGTGATCGTATGAGGAGAGTAGAGGAGACCCAAGAAGATTTGCTTGAGACAATGACTGATTTGGGAAATGAGGCAAGAGATGCCATAGGCGTGATACAACTTGGGTATGATGAGCTGAAGGCTCAAGTCAGTGTGCTTCAGGCAGCGGTAGCTAGTTTGACCGCAAACCCTATTGAAAGAGTGGGCATACGAGCCAAGATCCCTGATCCTCAACGCTTTGATGGAGCGAGGGATGCTAAAGAGCTTGAGAATTTCTTATTTGACATAGAGCAGTATTTTCGGGCTATGCGCACGGAGTCTGAGGAAGATAAGGTGGCAATGGCTTCGATGTATCTAGGTGGTGACGCTAAGTTATGGTGGCGGTCCAAGTTCAAAGATGGAGTGTGCTCCATTACGACTTGGGATGCGTTAAAGAAGGAGTTGAAGACCTCCTTCCTCCCCGAGAATGTTGATTACAACGCTCGTAAGAAGCTAAGGGAATTATCCCACACTGGGACTATACGGGAGTATGTGAGAGAGTTCTCAACCTTGATGTTGGATATAAAGGATATGTCAGAAAGAGATAAGTTGTTTCATTTTCTTGAAGGGCTCAAGCCATGGGCTAGACTCGAGTTGCAGAGACAGAAGGTTCAAGATCTGACAGTAGCGATAGCTGCTGCCGAGTGCCTTAATGATTATAACGATCATCCTGGAAAGCGCAAGACGCCTTCTGTGAGTGGAGCTAACACCCAACAGGTTAGTGGGAACAAGTTGGCTCAAGGGGAGAAGACATCGAGTTGGGGAGCAAATAGAAGAGTCCTTGGAAGGGACCCAGCTCAAAATAAAGTCCCTACTGGTCCTGGATCGAGCAATGGAGGGAATAGACCCTCGTTAAGGTGTTTTCTTTGCAATGGACCTCATCGGGTTACAGAGTGTCCACAACGAAGTGCTTTTAATGCCATGGTAGCAACAACAAAGGACGGAGAAAGAGTGAACGCTCCGATGGGAGATACTGAGCCTGAGCCGGCTAGAATGGGCTCCATCCGATTCATAACTGCATTACAGTCTCAGTTGAGTAACTTGAGGAAAGAACCAGAGAGGGGATTGATGTATGTGGACATATCAGTAAATGGGAAAACCTCTAAAGCTCTAGTCGACACAGGGGCCACAGATACGTTTATCTCTCCTGAGGAAGCGGAGAGATGTAAGTTAATTGTCACCAAGGAGGTGGGACAAATGAAAGCAGTTAACTCTGCCGCTTCAATGATATGTGGAGGTGTGAAGAGGGTCAGTATCAAGCTTGGGTCTTGGGAATGAAGTGTAGATTTCACTGTTTCCCATATGGATGATTTTGACGTGGTATTAGGGCTCGATTTTATGATGGCATCCCAGGTGATTCCTGTTCCGGCATCAAGTTGTTTAATGTTCATGGGGGAGCAGCCATGTGTGGTACCAGCTACGATTCTCCCTCGTCCTGGGAAGAAGATATTGTCCGCTATCCAATTTAAGAGATGGGTGAAAAGGGGGAGCCCTCCTTCTTAGTCTTTCCAATTTCCAAAGAGGATGACAATCTTGGCATGGTGCCCAGGAATGTTCAAGAAGTGCTGAGAGACTTTGAGGATGTAATGCCGGGTGAATTGCCGAAAGAGTTGCCCCCTAGACGGTTGGTGGACCATGAGATTGAATTAATTCCGGGAGTAAAACCTCCTGCGAAATGCCCATATCGGATGAGTCCTCTGGAGTTGGCAGAGTTGAGGAAACAGTTGGATGAGTTGCTCCAAGCAGGATTTATTCGACCCTCGAAGTCACCTTTCGGGGCACCTGTGTTATTCCAGAGAAAACATGATGGGAGTTTGAGATTATGTGTTGATTATAGAGCATTAAACAAAGTGACTGTCAGGAATAAATATCCCATTCCGTTGATTGCCGATTTGTTCGACCAGCTGAGTAATGCTAAGTATTTCACGAAGTTGGATCTCAGGTCGGGATACCATCAAGTGAGAGTGGCCGAAGGGGATGAGCCAAAGACGACATGTGTAACTCGGTATGGAGCATTTGAATTTCTCGTTATGCCTTTTGGACTAACCAATGCTCCCGCTACTTTCTGCACTTTAATGAACCAAGTGTTCCATGACTATCTCGATAAATTCGTAGTCATCTACTTGGACGATATAATGATTTTTAGCAATTCGATAGAAGAGCACTTGGAGCATCTTCGGTTGGTGCTGACGAGATTACGGGAAAATCGGTTGTTTGTAATGAAGGAGAAATGTGCTTTCGCCCAAACGCAAGTCCAATTTTTAGGCCACATCATTGAACGAGGGCGCATTCGTATGGATAAAGAGAAGGTGAAGGCTATCCAGGAGTGGCCGACCCCACAAAATGTTAGTGAGCTTAGATCTTTCCTTGGTTTGGCCAATTATTATAGACGATTCGTAGAAGGTTATTCTCGTAGAGTAAAGTTACTCACCGATTTGCTGAAGAAAGGCTGCGAGTGGGTTTGGTCCAAGGACTGTCAAGAGGCCTTTGACGATTTAAAGAAGGTTGTAATCAGTGAACCAGTGCTTACCTTGCCAGACCTAGAAAAACCTCTGGTAGTAGAGACAGACGCATCCGACTATGCAATTGGAGGCGTACTCTTACAAGACAACCATCCCGTGGCGTTTGAGAGTAGGAAGCTAAATGAAACTGAAGCGAGATATACGGTTCCAGAGAAAGAACTTCTCGCAGTAATTCATTGCTTGAGGATTTGGAGGCATTATTTGTTGGGTTCCAAATTTGTGGTAAAGACCGATAATACAGCAGTTAGCCACTTCCTTACACAACTGAAACTAACAGCAAAGCAAGCTAGATGGCAAGAGTTTCTGGCCGAGTTTGACTTCAACTTTGAGCATAAGGCAGGGAAAAAGAATCAGGTTGCTGATGCTTTGAGTCGCAGGGCAGATTTGGCAGCACTCCGATGTGTGGCCCCTATATCCGCTAGTAGAGTGTCCAATGAAATTCGTCAGCTCCTTGTGAACTTTTCCAAGCAAGATCCGCAAGTGGAGGCCCTTATGGAGATGGTTAAAAAGGGTGTTTCGAAATGTTTTTGGATAGAAAATGGCTTATTGATGACAAAGGGGCCACGAATGTTTGTTCCTCGAGCTGGAAATCTACGACAGAAGCTGTTGAAGGAATGTCATGATACCCCATGGGCCGGGCATCCGGGTTGGAGGCGTACTATTGCTTTGTTGGGACAAGGGTATTATTGGCCTCAAATGCGCCAAGATGTGATGGATTACACCAAGACATGTCTTATCTGTCAACAAGATAAGGTAGATCGACAGAAGACTGCTGGGTTGCTCGAGCCACTACCCGTACCCGCCCGACCTTGGGAGAGTATCTCCTTGGATTTTATATCATGCTTGCCTCGAGTAGGAGATCTTGGATCAATTTTGGTGGTAGTGGACAGGTTCTCGAAGTACGCCACTTTTATACCAGCATCAAAGTATTGTTCGGCGGAAGAGACTGCTAAGTTGGTGTTCAAACATGTGGTGAAATATTGGGGCATTCCTCAGAGCATAGTCAGTGACCGAGATGGAAGATTTATTGGGAAATTTTGGAAAGGATTGTTCCAGTTATTAGGGACACAACTCAACTTTTCGTCGAGTTACCACCCTCAAACAGATGGTCAGACTGAGCGATTTAATGGACTCTTAGAGGAGTACCTGATGCACTTTATTCAGGCCAATCAGAAGAACTGGCCTCCATTATTGGATGTGGCGCAATTATGTTTTAATTCACAAAAGAGTTCATCTACTAATAAAAGCCCTTTTGAACTGGTGACAGGTCAGCAGCCAAGACTTCCTCACACTGTGGATGAGACCTCTCAAGGTAGATGCCCTCGTGCCTCAAATTTTGTGGGGGAGTGGAAGCAGAATATGGAGATTGCCAAGGCTTACTTAGAGAAAGTAACGAAGCGTATGAAGAAATGCGCAGATCGTAACAGGCGAGACCTACACTTTCAGGTTGGAGATTTAGTACTAGTCAAGTTGATGCCAGAACAACTTAGATTTTTACGCCAGAGGGATCGTCGCTTGGTGCGTAAGTACGAGGGTCCAGTCTCAATAGTAGCAAAGGTGGGGAATGCTTCGTACAAAGTTGACCCTCCTACTTGGATGAGAGTTCACCCTGTCTTCCATGTGAGCAATTTGAAGCCGTTTTACACCGATCCCAATATCGATAATCAGAGTATGTCTGCCAGGGAGTCAATCGGCACACAACCACCCTCACAGCGTCATGTTGACGAGATTCTAGCAGGGAGAATTGTTAAGGTGGGTGGAAAGCAAAGACGGGAGTATCTAGTCAAGTGGGGAGGCTTTGATCAGGAAGAGAACACTTGGGAAAGAGAGTATGATCTCAGGGCATTTAAGCAACAGATTGAAGAGTTTCAGGCCAAGCAGTCGACGAGGACGTCGACAAATTAGGTGGGGGAGATTGTCGTGACCGTCCCTTTTATGGGGCCCCGGGTAGGTACGCCAAGGCCAACCATGTATAGGGCCTAGTGGCAGGGTAGAATAAGCTTGTCCTCTTTTCAAGCATTTTAATGTTTTAGGTAGGGAGTAGGGGTATGACTTACTGTCCCCTGTTCGAGCATTTCAACGTCTATAGGTAGCATTTCTACTATTTTGTTTTCGCATATATGTAGGGGGTGGACAGCCGGCAGAGTTTGGGCTGATCCACAGGTAAAGGTACGTGTCTTGTGAACACCATCGAGGGCCGCCCCTACGGCCTAATCGGTGGTGTGGGTGAGTCTTCTGTAACCCGATATTTCTTTTATTAATAAAACATTTTTCTCTCGGAGAAGTCCGGGGGTTGAGGTGTGCATCCGCTATGCCCCACGGGCTCGGATTATTGGTCGAAGGACCATGTGGCTATAACGATCTAACGCAATGTTTGTTTATGCTTGATCAGATCTACGAGATTAAGGCTGACTTGGTTGGGAAGCGTCCCTTTCGAGTGCCACACGGATTAGCAACCGAACCAACTAGGCTAAGTCCGTGACACTTGGGTCCCCATTAAACCCCTACAAAATGCTTTTGTCGTCAACGTCGGAGACATCATGGAGGTAATTATTAATGTCTTTATTGCACGATCAACCATTGAACAGTACATAATATTATGAAATATTGCAGATTGTATCCAATGGGGTATACCCGAGCATCGAGCACCGTGCGACCGTGAACTCCGTTAAAGAAAGGCTTTCAATTGCCACGGTTTACAGCCCGAGATTGGATGGAGATGTTGGTCCAGCACCAAGCCTGATTTCTCCAGAAAATCCACCGCTCTTCAGGAGAATAGGTGTTGCTGATTACTTCAAAAATCTGTACACACGCGAGCTCCATGGAAAAGCCTATTTGGATTTCTTGAGGGTTCAGCCAGAGGAAATCATTAAAAGCTAGCATCATAATTTGTAAATTAAACTTGTTTTTTTAGCCTTGCCATGCTTGTCTTATAATATATTTATTAGTGTGGAAATTGATTTTTAATTGTTGTTGTGTTTTGAGTTTCCTGCGGTAAGTTTTGTTTCTTGAACCCCCAATATCAATCATTAAAATAATTATTTTTAAAGTATGTATCATATTAATGAAGAGTTTGGTTAAATTTGATATCACTAAATAAAACTAACTCAATTGGAAAAGTATTAAAAATGATTTATAAAGTATTTGATTAAGTTTCGTATGATTTCATTACAAATTATATTTTAGTACAATACAGGCACAACCACATTGTCTATTAAATTATCAGTGGCACGTTCACACTATAATTTGATGCGAACTTCTTCTATTTTCGACAGGTAAATTCCGAAATGGAATTTTACCTAAAAAAATCCTTGCTTTTCTCGGACGCTGCTCTTGTGATGGCTTCTCATTTTTCCCCAAATACTTAACAGACAGTAGGCTTAATTTTCATACAATTCTTAAGACCTGTAATTTGTTCGTGGCTGCTCAGCTTCAATATTTCCTCCGCAATCAACTCCACTTATAAATGCATACAATTAACTTGTTTCAATTTCTTGGCATGTAAGATAAGCTTGGACCTAGGAAGACAAGTTTCCTTCTTTCATTCACGAAAACTAGTCACCCTTATGGGGTTTTTTCCAAGTTAATTACATCATTCTTCCATTCTGTAATGACAAAGAAGAGACTTTTAAGGGTTTTGTATGATGTTTCTCTCCCCTCGATCACTTTATAAATACCAGCTTGATCCCTTCATATGAAATCCACAGCTTAGACGTAAAACACTTTAGTTTATAGCAGCAAAAAATGAGGTTTTTAGTTATGATGATTGTGGTCATGTCGGCCTCTGCATTGAGGGCCTCGGCTGAAGTCGGTTCGCTCATCAGCCAAGATATGTTCATTGATATGTTGAACCATCACAATGATGCAAACTTCCCCAGAAACGGTTTCTATACATACGATGCTTTCGTCGCCGCTGCCAACTCCTTCGGCGCTTTCGGGACCACCGGCGATGTTGATACTCAGAAAAGAGAGATTGCTGCCTTCTTGGATCAAATTTCCCATGAAACTACAGGTGGGTGGCCAACTGCACCTGATGGTCCATACTCATGCGGATATTGCTACGTTCAGGAACAGGGAAACCCTGGTGATTACTGTGTTCAAAATCAACAATGGCCTTGTGTCCCTGGTAAAAAATATTTTGGCCGTGGTCCTATCCAAATCTCACAGTGATTGCCCTTCTCTTTTTCAATATAAATTGATGGATTCAAATTCAATCATTTTGTTATATTGAAAGTTTATTGACAATGACTTTGTGCAGCAACTACAACTACGGTCCAGCAGGAAAGGCAATAAAAGCTGATCTTCTTAATGACCCCGATTTGGTGGCTAAGGACCCGACCATTCCTTTCAAGACCGGTCTTTGGTTCTTGATGACACCACAGTCATCAAAACCTTTATGTCACGATGTCATCACCCGCCAATGGAAGCCGTCTGCCGATGACACGGCTGCCAATCGGGTCCGGGATAGTGGATGCACCCATTACATGACTCCTCATGTAGACTTGTTTAAAGTGTTGGAAAAAAGTACAAGTCAAGGGGGAAAATAGGTGATGGCAGCTTTGTCGAAGTAATGGGTAAAAGAGATGCAGCTGTTCAGACTTCTTCAGTTACAAAAATTATTTCAGATGTTTTATTTATGCCTAGAATGAGTCAAAGTCTTCTTAGTGTTGGTTAGTTGCTTGAAAAAAATTACAACTTGCATTTCCATGATAGAGTTTGTGATGCGTATGATAAAAATGGTGTGAAGATGTTAACTATTAAGATGATTGAGAGAAGTTTTCCAATAAAATGGAAGCAAACTGAACTGCAAGCCTTCACTTTTGTTATTGACTAATCACGTTTATGGCATAGGAGGCTGGGTCACTTCAATTATTCATCTTTGACATATTTGTCCAGCAAAGATTTAGTAAAAGATATGTCTGATGTGTCAAAATACTGCTGTGTGTGAAGTGTGTCAAAAAGGGAATCAAACTAAGCTTTCATTTCATGTAAATCAAGTTTGGAGATCTTCAGAAAAACTTCAACTTGTACACACTGATTTATATGGTCCAATGCACATATCTTCGCTAAATGGGAGCAAATATATTTTTTCATTGATGATTATAGTTGATGGTGTTAGGTTTCCTTCTTAAAGCAAAAAAAAATGAAGTGTTTGTTATTTTTCAAAGTTTCAAAACAAATTCTGAAAATCAATGTAAAAGGAAAATCATGACTTTAAGGTTTTATAATGAAAGTGAATACTGTTGGGATTTGTGGAAGGAAGTTCGAATTGATAACCGAAAAAGTTACAAAGGGGGTGAATTGATAAAAATTCGTTTAGGGAGTAAAGAGAGTAAAAGATAAGACAATAGATACACGGATTTATAGTGATTCGACTTTTCAACCAAGTCTACCTCCACTACCTAAGCTCCTCACTTAGGATTTTCTAACAAATCCACTAATTTGTTCTTTCTTTTTCAATGATCAAGAGTAACATTTACAACTCCCTATCTTTTGAATTGGTTAAGATATAACCAAAACCCCTTTATAAAAAGATAAAAGAAGTAAACAAATAAATCTCTCAAAGGTAGGTATTTACAAAGAATTAAGCTCACACAAACACAATATTTACAAAAGAAATGAAAATAAGAATGAAAAATTGTTCTCTTGTGTTTGATTGTTTGGATAGGTATTCTAACCCTTCTTCAAGTGTCCTCAACTTTTATTTATATGTTGGAATGTTGTTGTGGTCGTTTCTAGCTGTTGGGAGTGTTTTAGAGCCATTGCGGATCAAATTTTCGTGCAAAATAAAAATGCCCAGAACAGAGGGTATCGGTACTCCTAAAGGGAGTATCGATACTACCTTTGTTTATATTTAAATCAACTAGCTGTTACTAGCCGTTGGAGCCTGATGGTATCGATACTATGCCTATGGTATCAATACTACTATACAGAGTAGTATACCCCTTTGGGTATCGGTACCATTTTTACATTCTGGAATTTGAGCATTGCTGAAAGTATCGATACTTCCCTTACCTTTGGTATCAGTATCATATGAACAATATCGGTACTGTTTGTCCAGAAAATTGTTTTGTGCTTAATTTCAAGCTTTAAGGACTTTGAATTATTTTTGAAAACTTTGAAAAACTTTGAATAAATTCAATTAAAGTCCAAAAACATTTTTGCCTTAATTATTATATCAAAATATAGTTCAACAATCTCCCCCTTTTTGATATAACAAAACATTTGAAAAATTATTTTTGGCAAAACTCCCCCTTAATAAAATGTTTAATGAAAAAGATATCAATTGTTGAAAAATGTATGAAAATGTTAAGCTTCCCATTTTTTATTAAGAAATTGAATTTTTCAAACCATACTTATCCCACTTTTGTTAGATAAAAAAAGAATTCAACTTTAAAGTTCAAAAATAACATTAGAGAGTAAGTGGTGAATTTGACATAAAAACATTTAAAAAATAATCAAAGTTCCTCCTCAAAAAGTGCATTCCAAACAAAAATTTACTTTAGAAGCTTGACACTCAAACAAAATTGAATTTCAACAAAGAGTAAAAAAATGTTAGTAACACATGAAATTCAATATATCTAAGTCTAAAATACTTTATTCAATATCAATTATTGAAATTAAGTGCATGTGCATAAAAGTTTTCAAAAATGTTATGCATTTGAAGAATTTGATATCAATTGTTAGAGAGATATCTTTAACATTTAAAACACATGCATAAATATTTAGATTTAGGTCAAAAATTTAAAATTTGTAAAATCAAAGCATTTGAAAAGTTGATATTAATTGTTAGAGAGATATCATTTGCATTGAAAATCAATTTTGACCAAAATTCATTATGATGAAATAAATTTATGAAAAATCATTAAAACTTTAAAATGTTCATCATAAAGCATTTTTCAACATACATGAGATTAAAAATAATGCATAATTATTTAAAATCAAAACTCATGCATGCATAAATCAAATGAGCAACCAATTACGCAAAAATAAAAAGCTTTTAAGCTTAGAGGTTACCCATTCCTTTTAGAGTGTGGCTAGAGCATCTTGATTTCTTCATTTTCATGACCATTGCTCCCACACACCTACAAGAGACATTTATTGGGATTTTGGTATCCAAATTGCTTTGGATCCTTGGACGTTAGTTTCAACGCCCCTTGTTCCCTTAGGAACCTATACTTGTCTAATTTTAAAAGATTTAATTTTCTTTATGGGACAAGTATGTTCCAAATGACCATAAAAATATCAATATGAGCATTTTGCCATTTTTAAACATAATGAGTTGTTTTGAGAAATTAATTCTTTTTCCTTTTGTTAAGATCTCAAGCTTAACTTTCAAATCAAAATTTTCTTTTTCTAAATCATTGATTTTGAATTTTGAAAGTTCTAAATCATTTTCCAAAATTTCATTTTAATTTTCAAAATCAATTTTTTGCTTTCAAAACCAAATCATTTTCAATCTTAAATTTTGAAATTAATTTCTTATATTTGGAATTCATGGTCTCAAATTCCAAATACAACTCATTATAAGCATTTTGTAACTCATCAAAAGAATGTGAATTTAAATCATTTGAGTTAGAAGATACCATTGAATATTCTTCGATGGCCATGAGGCATAGATTGGCTACTTCATCTTCATCATTGGAGTTATCTTCATCACTCCAAGCTGTCATAAATGTCTTTTTCTTGCTTGATCCCATCTTCTTTATGAGAGAACATTCATTCTTCACATGCACCATTTTTTTTACAATTGAAGCACACAGGGGACCCTTCTTCTTGGTTGATTCATGCTTCACTTCCTTGGAAGACATGAATCTCCTGAACTTTTTAAAGAGCTTGGCCATCTCTTCTTATTCATCATCTTCATCCACCTCTTCATTTGAATCTTCATAGCTCTCATTGGTGGACTTGAAGGCAATGCCTACCTCCTCATTCTTCTTGTTTTGTTTCTCTTCATCTTCTTCCTCTTCCTTCACCGTCAACTCATGAGTGAGAAGAGAACCAATCAACTCGTTGAAAGTGAGAGACTTTAGGTATTTAGCTTCGATAATTGTCGTCTTCTTCGATTACCAAGACTTTGGAAGAGAGTATATCATCTTCCTCACAAGCTTCTCATTAGAGATTACTTCTCCAAATCCCTTGAGACTATTGACAATCACAGAAAATCTATTCGTCATAGCTTTGTTGTCTTCATCGGGTTTCATCTTGAAATTCTTGTAGCTATGGTTGAGAAGACTTATCTTGGTTTCCCTTACTTCGTTGGTTCCTTCATGAGTGACTTAGAGCTTACCCCATATCTCCTTGGCATTGGAACAAGATGAGACTCTTCCATATTCATTCGGGCCTAATGCACAAAAAAGAATGTGCATAGCCTTAGCATTGAGTTGGAACTTCTTCTTTTCTCCATCACTCCAATCGTCCATCTCGCCGGTTTGAATGGTGTATCCTTTCAAGATTGAGTTCCAAGCTCCTAAATTGTTGGCTTGAATGAAGAGCATCATCCTATACCAATAGTCATAATTTGCTCCATTGAAGTAGGGTGGCTTGTTGACCGGTTGTGAATCTTCAATGTAATAAGCACCGGAGGTTGAAGCCATCTCTTTGTCGGTTGCATCGGGAACCAGTAGAGCTTCTTCGAGGATCGTCTTAAGGGGTTAAACATTCTAATGAGTCAAGGTCTTAAACCAATTGTTAGAATTTGCGCAAGAAAGCTCGAATTGACAACCGAAAGAGTTGCAAAGGGGGTGAATTGATAAAAAAATCGTTTAGGGAGTAAGGAGAGTAAAAGATAAGACAATAGACACAATGATTTATAGTGGTTCGACTTATCAACCAAGTCTACCTCCACTACCTAAGCTCCTCACTTAGGATTTTCTAACAAATCCACTAATTTTTTATTTCTTGTTCAAGGATCAAGAGTAACCTTTACAACTCCCTATCTTTTGAATTGGCTAAGATATAACCTAAACCCCTTTACAAAAGGATAAAAGAAGTAAACAAATAAACCTCTTAAAGGTAGGTGTTTACAAAGAATTAAGCTCACACAAACACAATAATTATAAGATAAATGAAAATAAGAATGAAAAACTCTTCTCTTGTGTTTGATTGCTTGGATAGGTGTTCTAACCCTTCTTCAAGTGTCCTCAACTTGTATTTATATGTTGGAATGTTGTTGTGGTCGTTACTAGCCGTTGGAGATCAATTTTCGTGCAAAATAAAACTGTCAGAACAGAGGGTATCGGTACTCCTAAAGGGAGCATCGGTACTACCTTTGTTTATATTTAAATCAACTAGTCGCTACTAGCCGTTGGGGCCTGATGGTTTTGATACTATGCGTATGGTATCGATACTATTATACAGAGTAGTATCGATACCCCTTTGGGTATCGGTACCATTTTTACATTCTGGAATTTGAGCATTGCTGGAAGTATCGATACTCGATACTACCTAGTGAGTTTTGATATTTCCCTTACCTTTGGTATCGGTACCATATGAACAGTATCGGTATTGTTCATGAGGTATCGATATTGTAAGAACAGTGTTGGTA